TAATGTTTTGGGGACAAAAGGTAAAAAAGAAGCACGGTAGATATGTTAGTCACGGAATTCCAATTAGGCCAGACCCCCAATTGTCAGCCTCTGGGTAACTAACCTGAGTATTTAATAGTAAAAAGGTTGTTACTATGAGTTGACTGAAGTTTTTGAGCGTGGTGAGTGTTAGGTAGTGGGTGATTAATACCAGTCCTGTAAAGAGGAGGTTTCACTCTATCAGTATGGTCTTTACTGAGAGGCTTGCTATCAACAGCGCATCCGGATCAATACAAGGTATTAATAGGCATCCAGGGTACTAAGACTCACCTGGGATTGATTTGGTTATTCCCCAAAGGGAATGGGCTAACAATACTTATTAAGCTTTAACAAAATTAGTTGAAGATTAACAGGTATTGTTGATGGGAATATTCAGCAAGGCTATGAATACTGTGGATAAGTTGAGTAAGAGTACTGAAGCTTAAGAACAATAAATGTAGACAAGATTTATGTTGGTTACGTGTACTGTATCAATATAAATGTTAACTGGTTTAACTGGTGTCTGAATATTCTGGGGATTAATCAGTGAAAGAGGCACGGATTATAAGTTCCAGAATACTGAAGGGGGGAAAGAATGAGCGCTCAGAATCAAGGGAGCTTTGGCCAGGAGAATGAGCACATCAATTGAGTGACTGATCATTATTTGTCATGATCAGTAAGTGACATCATAATTGTGTACTAGTTGATCAATGTACTAGTTGCTCTTGATGTGTACTTAACAGATCCTCTAATAATGTAGTCATAATTGTGGTCAGTGCATGTATTGAATGTATTAATTCTATTGACACTTAATACTTATTATTTAATACATGTACATATTTATTTGTAATAATATTTGACCGTGAAAATACTGTAGCAGAGGGATGACTTGTGGTACAGGTATTTCACGGACAAGGGAGTGAAAGGTAAGTGATAATTACTTATGTAGAACACAGGTATGTATTTAATAGATAAGTAATTAACAGATAAGATAACTGTAAGATAAATAAGATAAGTTAATAATAAAGATAAGATAACAAGAGGTAAAGGTAATCAACATTATGGATAAGTACTTATGTACATAAGTACAGTTGTTGCAGTTACTTGGTACATGAAAGGTACTGTGACATGTACTCTGTGGCTGACATTTTTAATTATATGTAAGTAATAATATCTCTAATTTATATGTAAAATGCTATGTACAGGCTGGCTCTGATTAGTAGCAGGCTGACACTGCCCAAGTCAAAAATTAATGCCCCGTTCCCAGGAAGGATTGAACACTTGACCTGGACTGTTGATGGACTTTCTATTATAGTCGACTCTCCTCTGGCAAGCCAGATTGTTGGACGTAGACGAATCCATCAGGGCGCTTACCGATTGCGCTACGGGGCCGCTGACTGTATTGGTGAGGCATGGATTTAAGTAGGTTGCGGGCTATATTTTAGGACAAAAGATAGAATAGATGGTACAATAATTTACCGGTTAGTCGTGAGTCGGCGTGAGGGCTGTTTACAGAGGCGACTCATGACTCTTTTACGGCCTCTGAAAGCTGGGAGATCAAGCCAACCGTTAAAATGATTCTACTGATTGCAACCTTGTACAAAATATGTTGTCATTTTCTCATGTAATCGAATAGTAAGAATAATAAGAAAAAAAAACGCAACAAAAACAGAAGTTGATTGAGAAGAAGTCAATCATTTCAAAAACAAGAGCAAGATTGAGAGTAGAAACCTAAGCATGAAGCAAATGAGAAGGAAAGCAGGGTGTAATATATTCAAGAAAGCAAATGTTCATCATTTTTGTTGGTGAGTTGGATTTCCATCTCTTGATGACCGATTGAAATCAAGGACTTATTTTGAGCAGTTTCAAGTACTTATTTAACATTTGCTAAAAATCAATCTGTGTATGATTGATGAGAACAAAAATATCAAAGATAGTTGAGGATCAAATGGATCGTGGGAATTACCAGTCCAAAAGATTTGGTGAAAGACCTTTTGATAATAAAAAGTAAATGAGAGACAAACCTTCGCCAACAACACTAACAATCCATATTTTCTTTCAATTCTTCTTTTTTGCACTGCTTTTTCTTATTCTTTTTCACAAAGAATCACTTTTTCATCACTCATAGTTATAAATATTTTTCATAAAATATTCATTCTTGTATTTTTTTTTTTCAAATGCATGCATATACACACTATTCTTCAGTTCACTTAGGTTCAAAAAGTTAAATCAATAAGCACTAAAAAATTATAAAAAAACTGCAAACCTTCAGTCCCACCACCTGTGTCCCTTGCAAGATTGCCTCCTCTGCTTATAGTCTTTGTCTCTTTTTGATTTTCTCACAAAACATCATCCAGAATTACCCCCTTTTGAATTTGAAATAATTCAAAAATGATATCATCCTCTTTCTTAGATATACCATTTGTTTCAGTTCTGCTTTAGCAACTTTTTTATGGTTTTTTTGCTTCATTGCAATGGTCCATTCATTGTACTCACTTGGTTTTCAGGAGCATTGCAGTGCTCTTGCTTCTTGGCACATTTGGCTGTGTGAGTTTCATGATGAATTGATTGTATTCTGAGAAAATAGGAAGGCTTCATGTGTTTCTGTTCACCTTGTAGGAAACCTACTAAGAACCAGCACCATCTTTATCTTTCTGGAAGAGAGTGCAATTTGTTGAGAAAGTTGATGTTGTTGAGTGCTCCCAGAAGGAAAAAAAAATGGATATCAAATCTAAGATGTGGGTTGCTACAGCTTCAAGCACCACTGTTGGCTCTTTTTCATTTCCAGTAGTCCCATGGTTTGTCTTTGGGAGGTTTTTACAACACTGTTGAGGGACATCAGGGACTGAAACTAAGGCTAAAGCCAACACTCACTGTGGGACCTTGACAATGAGAATTATATAGATTGATTCAGTGAGGAAAGAGTCAGGGAAAAGAGATCCGGTAACTCAGTAGTAATTGTAGGCTTGATATAAGCATAACTCAGTATAGGCATACCAGTACCACATACAGGATTAATCCAACAAAGACTAGTTCATCCATTCTAACAAGCCAATCATCCTGAGTAAAACCTTTCTTCTTTGGAAAAAGAAACAATTCTTCCTGAATATTCTTCATTCAGTGTTTTGAATTAATATATGCTGTAGATCTTAATGGTTAGATAACAATAACTCTTGTGGGTCTCTAGATCTGTAATTTCACCTGGGATTGAAATGTTTTTCAATCCGAAATCCATTGAGTTGCTTTTTTAAACCTACAAAAGGAGGAGAAGGCTTACTTCTTGCCATGTATTGTACAACTGGACCAATATTGTGAAGATAGGCTGGCATCCTTGAAGTGGCAGCTGCTTTCTGGAACAGCAAAAAAACCCAAGCAGCCAGCAGCATCTCTCTTTTGAACAAAGTGATTTTCCTCCTCAAAAAATGTGCTCCACAATCTCAAGAAACACAAACTGTCTCATCCTGAAATGCTGACTGAGAGAAATCTTTGCGGACTGTAGGTTTGTTGTGAAAGTAGTCATTAAATAGTAGATGATGATCTTGAAGTTGGTTCCAATTGATATACTCTTGTCCACAAGTGGATCCACCGCGCTTGATTTCTCACCTTTCCTCTTGATGAGGAAATATCCATTGCATGGAAATAAACAATTGCATTATTTCAATTTGTCATCATCCTGGGTCAAAGCCAGGGAGTCAAACTTTTTTTCTTTGGGGGGGGGGATGTCAAGCAATATTCACGCCGGCAAGAGACCGCAGGAGGACGTCGCCAGCGGGTCGCGCAACTATCGGGGGGACCTCCCGAATTTGGGAAGCGGCAATATAGGAGGCCATTCACTAACATCAAGCTGATGTGTAGGGGCTGCAACAGCTCACGAACAAGAATGCATGGTTGCTGAGTTGATAAGCTACTGATCGAGCAGGTATAGGTATGGTCTGTGCCTGTTCGGCGAGGACATGTCGACCCCGGCGAACTAGACCGGTTTGTACTCCATACTCATAGCTCAGTGAGGGGGATACACCTCGGCGAGCACACAGCTTGTACCAGCTTGCCGAAAAGGGTCCTCCTCACCAAAGGAAAAGATCAGCAATTCAGCTCTTTGGAGCAGGGTCATCATCCCCTGAGCTGGGTACCTCTTCAATAAACAGGTAAATCCCGCACCGGCTCGCGGAAAGATTATTGTTCAACGATCTGGTCCATAGTACCACCGGCCAGAAAGGTATCTCTCCGTCGCTGAGCTCACCAGAAAAGAAAAAGACAACCCCGTGTGCAGGAAGGCTTGAACAGCCGACCTGGGGATGGATGTTCTGCTATAGTACGCTGTCCTGGGTGTCCAGAATGGTGGTCGCATAGGCATCCATCAGGCGCTTACCGATTGCGCTACGGGGCCGGTGCCTTCCCTGGTGATTCAAGGGTATAAAGAAGATTCCGGGCGCACAATGGCAGGGCAAAAAAATAGAGAATACATTATTACTGTGAGGCGAAAATCCAAAAGCATCTCCTGTTCCGGCTCATTGAGGATATAACCTGGTTGAAGAGGATATGTATTTCCTCTTCATTGAGCTGGTAAAGACCCTTGGTGAGGATCTTCACTGAGCTGGTAAAGGGCTTTGATGAGGAAAGTGGATCCCTTCCGAGTCCCTGGTGAAGCCGACACAACTGAACAGCCGTACCAGCTCGCCGAGGGTTCATCCTCCTCACCGAGTCATGGAGTACACACCAGTCCAGTTCGCCAACGGGGGATATAAGCTTCAAATCTTGGTAAT